TATATTTTATATATCCATATATATTTTATATGTTCATATAGGTACTCATATCAGAGATTCATATTATATATATTCATATATTTTATATATTCATCTAGGTATTCATATTAAATAAGCTATGTTATATATTTATAGATATTAATAAATTATATGTATTCATCTAGGTATTCATATTGTGTGAGATATCCATGATATATATATTCATCTATATTATATATATTCATATGTATATATATTATATCAGAGATTTGTATTATATGAGAGTTATTCACATCTATGCCAACTTTTAGAAAAGTTAACCAAGCCTTGCAGTTGCAAAATTATTCCAGAGATGCAAGCACACAGTTAGGAATCACTAAGAAAAATAAATTTTGCATTCTGGATGTTTTTTCCTAACAAACAGTTGAAGTTCAATATGTGACCTTGCTGTTGAAATTCTACCAGCAGCTTTAGGCAACAGTAATAATAAACAACATAATATTTGTACAACACACAGGACAACAAGGCCCTGATTTCTGGCTGAGGGAGACAACAAGCAAACTAAAGTAAATTAATTGGAGTTCATACCTTGAGTGGTGTCAACAGCACGAGAGGAACCTCTGGAACAACACAGCTGGTTAAAGGTCACTAAAACACCAAGGTCTGCCTACACACCAGATTGTGCATGAACTGAAGTGTCCACTTGGGGAGAATAATTCCTGTATTTATCTGTTCTGCACCACGATAAAACACTGAACTGGCCTCTTCAGACCTACCTGTGGGCTGTGTGTTTCACAGTCCATTGCTTGAACAGCAGCAGTGAAGTGCCCACCACTATGTCGATGCTGGTGCGTGGGGTCCGACCGTGCCCTCCCGCTGTTGCTCGTTCCGGAAGATCCACCTGGAAAACCAGAACGTGCCCCATTAACTAAAGAGGCACCAAATTTAAAGCTGCAAAACGGTGGCTGTGTGAAGATAACGTGACCTGCTCCAAGAGGAAAAGTAGGAGATGATCACTCACATTTTTGCTCAGCTAGTTTTTGGGTTTTGGTTGGGCTGGTGCCTGTTCCAGCTGATTGAAAGAATCGTTTCATGAGCGTGGTTAATGTATTGGGTTTTGAACAGGAGGAAAAGACAACATTTCATACAATCATGGAATACCCTGCTCAAATCTTCGTTCGCAAAGCCTAGCCATGATGATGATGATGATGGAATACCCTGGAAGGGATCATTCTGTCCATCTCCTGGCCCTGCCCAGCACACCCCAACAATCCCCCCTGTCCCTCAGAGCGTTGTCCAAACCCTCCTGGAGCTCTGGCAGCCTTGGGGCCGTGCCCACTGCCCTGGGGAGCCTGGTCAGTGCCCACCACCCTCTGGTGATTCATGGGCAAGATTTCCACCGGGAAATACAATTTATCCACCCGTCCATGCCAAAACCTCACCTGAGCTTGAAGATGTACTAGAGGTGGTTCCCGAAGACTGCGACTGCTCCATGGCAGGACTGGTGGACACGCTGTTACTCGTGTTTGTACCTTCATCCGCTGTTTTCTTGAAGAAACTGTGCTGCAGGGCATAGTAGGGCTGGATCCGTGTCTTGGGGTCATAGTCAAGCATCCTTAAGATGAGGTCTTTGAACTTCAAGTAGTCGGCTACAGTATGACCCGGTTCCCCAGCCCGGCGCCCGCCTGGTCCTCCTGTCTCAACTCCCAGGATGTTGTGAAGTTTGCGAGTCGCGGGGGGTTTGTATTCCTGGCGGGAAGTTGGGAATCGTTTGAGATCAAGGGGTGGGGTCAGCTTTGGGGGGGCACAGTTTAATTGTACAAGGAGGGGAAGTCAAAGCAAAGGAAGGAACTATTCAATGCTACAGAAGGTGTTACTTAAAGGACGAGATGGAGCAACAGTGAAATTCCATTTTGAGGAAGACAAGATGTAAAACAAAGTAACA